CAGGCTGATGACCTCAGCTGGCTGCTGTCATGACACACTGCTATGGAGGGCGCAGGCTGATGACCTCAGCTGGCTGAGGTACAGGCTGCTTATCGCCTTCCCTCTGCTCCTCAAGCACACGAAGCACAGTGCTGACAGTGAAGAGGCCCTGCTTTTGTCTAAAGGCCATGGAATGGGGCACCTCCCAACTGCCCCACCCCTATTACGGCCCCCCAGAGTCCTGCCTGCTCAGTCACGGTGTCAGCTGCACAATACTTCCTGACAGCTCCTCGGCAGTCATCAGATGGCCGAGCTTTGTTTTATTATACTTTTACTGCCCCATAAAACGGTTATTTTACACTAAAAAAAAACAGCAGTTTCACCCAGTTGGCGCGTCGTCACCAGGCACCCACATAAGCAGCCCGGTCGCTAGGTACACTACAGACATCTGAGAGCAGGCTGGACATTTACAGACGTAAGCTTTACAGTAGCATAACAAAGTAAATTGTTAACACAAAACCTACATTCCTTGCGACTGCGCCCAAACATCACTAACAAAAGACTGACTGTGTACTATGTATCCATCTAGTTATCCAGTTCATGGATACTGCAAGCCTGGAACCAGTCTCAGAAGGCACCGGGCAGGGTACACACCGGGCAGGGTACACACCGGGCAGGGTTCACTCCGGGCAGGGTACACACCGGGCAGGGTACACACCGGGCAGGGTACACACCGGGCAAGGTTCACTCTGGGCTGGGTACACACCGGCCAAGGTTCAATCTGGGCTGGGTACACACCGGGCAGGGTACACTCCGGGCAGGGTACACAACGGACAGGGTACACTCCAGGCAGGGTACACAACGGACAGGGTACACTCCGGGCTGGGTACACACCGGGCAGGGTACACTCCGGGCAGGGTACACTCCGGGCAGGGTACACACCGGGCAGGGTACACTCCGGACAGGGTACACACCGGGCAGGGTACACTCCTGGCCGGGTACACACCTGGCAGGGTACACTCCGGGCCGAGTACACTTCGGGCTGGGTACACTCCGGGCAGGGTACACTCCTGGCCGGGTACACACCTGGCAGGGTACACTCCGGGCCGAGTACACTTCGGGCTGGGTACACTCCGGGCTGGGTACACACCGGGCAGGGTACACTCCGGGCAGGGTACACACCGGGCAGAGTACACTCCGGACAGGGTACACACCGGGCAGGGTACACTCCTGGCAGGGTACACTCCGGGCCGAGTACACTTCGGGCTGGGTACACTCCGGGCTGGGTACACACCAGGCAGGGTACCGGCCCATAACACAAACTCTGGGCACTTTAGTGACACCAGGAACCTTGCCCTTGTGATATGAGATGAATGTGCAAACCTGCACTCAAAAAGTAGGAATGATGTTTCATCGCCCAACCCTAGAAATGTGAGACCACTGAGCCACCCATTATTATTACAGTTACATAATATCTGATGATAACAAAATTCAAATATTCAGGAAAATTACTAAACTGTGTCACTGTACCTGGTAATTAGCACATCTGCACATCAAACTACTAAATGGGCTGACATCAGTAGACTTTGACTTACTGTGTGACCAGGAGTTTGTGGAGTGGTTTACGAAAGTTGGTAAAGATAAAAGTATCTTGCAAGCAAGGAAAATGTAAATAATTTTTTCCTCTAGCCATCTAGACATCCATTCACATAGACAAATAGAAACTGTTGTAGAGATTTCTGTTTGCACTTGTGTCTTCTATTAAAAGAGAACACTGTACAAAGACCGTCATCCACAGCAGCACACGATGGCAATGCCAGAGAACTCTGCTGAAGTGTTTACTGTTATAAGATTACACACACCTGCTCACTCACCTCTGTCCAAACAACTAAAGCCTACTAATCGATAGGTGCCTGAAATAATCAAAGGTTCCTGGCATGACTCACAAGGCAAACGAAAGTCAACAGCGCGATGCAAAGCAAACAGGGCCGCCTGTCCACACGCTACTGCAAACACCGCTCAATCACTCACCGGTTTTCGTTTTGTTCTGGCTCACCCTCAGTAGCCCTCGCTCGGGATCTCGAACCCATCTGGAGCCATGGATGAATATATTCTCGTTCCGCACTGACTCCTGAGAAGTGGCTGGCCTCTCGGTCAGGCAAGCACCACCGTGAGTGCTGTCGTACAGACTATCGGGCGCTGAAGCCCTACCATTCATGCAACCCAGGAACAGCGCGTCGACAGGCGTACAAAAATAAGAGCGTGAGCCTGCCCTCCATCATTAAGTGAGAGAAACTGACGACTTTGAGAATGAGGGCATTTTCTGGTTTGAAACAAGGACAGGTGACCCAGGAAATGCTGTAATTATGAGTAAAAAAAACTGGAACATCAGCATTAAATCTGGTTCTATACATTTAATCCATATCAGGCCAGAATTCAATGTGAACTGGAGACCCCACAATGCTCTGTGGTGTGTTGTGCTTAAGGTGTGACCTGCAGCGCTGCGTTGGTTAACGCAGACACATTGATGGATGACTGAAATATGATACCAGACAGCTACCTGCTGCTCCACACGTTGTAGGTCAGTAGTAACAGTTGAGTAAATAGCTTCTGCTCTAAGATTAATTTTTCCACGACACTTAACCTAGAAAAAAGAAATATATTTAATTGTAATAAAGTGATTATGAACAATGCTGTGCAGAGTAACATTAGCTAGTTCTTTCCATTTGCTGAGTGCCAGGGGGCAGCACGCCGTAATCGCCCTATGACAGCGATCACTCGAACTCACGTTGTTTGTGATGCGGGTGCTTTTCTGTAAAGCCATCTGCTCTGAGACACCCAGGTAGAAGTCGAGCGCAGTGAAACATCCCATTTAGATATTTCATGTAAAGACACCCTCCAATGACATAAAGCATAATCCGGAAAGTAAAACTGCAATTTACAAAGGGGCAGCCTTAGCATATAAATACTGAGTGCGGGAATTTAACAGCTTTAA